GCATCTCAATACACGACGAAGTTGAAAGTTTCGAAGCATACCTTTATTTTGTTGTCAGGTAAATCTTTACTCCATTACTGATTCCTTTGTGTAGCTTGAAGAATTTTAATTTCGAATTCAAATGATAATTTTTATTGGATTAGAATTTTGTATTAAACTTTGATTTTTAAGCTTGATCCTTTCTTAATTTAGTTTTGTTCATTATTTGGATTAAACTTTGAGTTTAATTGTGATTATAGACTTTGATTGATTTTTTTAACTGTGTGTTTAGTCTTTGCATAATTTTCATTAGAGGATCTCTTGATGGTTGATTATAAACTTTGGTCAAACTTTGATGAATAATTGTGACGACTCTCCGAGTGTTTGTTTTGTAACCCGATGCATATACTTGCTTTGTTGCTTCATATATTCCTTTACGGTTCTTGGTTCAATTTTATCTCTGATAAGTTGAATCAAAATAGACTTTAGGCCCTGATCCAAATATGATAACATTAGGGTAGTTCTCATTCAGCCTCAACAATAGGACCATATGGCATGACAACATCTAGGACCAAGTCTCTCATAGATCTTGCGTTGCATCTTTCTCTTATCCCTCTTATACAAAGAGATTAAGGAAGAGAAATAATGTTGAAGAATTATACAAATTTGACCTATAAGGTCTAATCATGTTCCCGGGATTTGTTCTTGAGAGTATCCACATTGCTTGAGAGCTTTTAGAACTCGAACCCTCTTATACAAAGAAATGAAGTTCCATACTAACTTCTAAATAAACATTGAACGGTGGTTTAGAGCGGGCAGTCTCCAAATCTAACAATGATTTTGCACAAGCTGATATCGAATAAATACAAAGTTTTTAGTTGGTTATCCTTTGAATCAAACTGCAGTTTTACACAGGCTAATCACGAACCAAAACAAAATTTTAAAGTTGAACTTGTTGATTTTTGACGTGTTATCGTCGAAGTCTCAAGAGGAGTGGAAAGTGGGACTTAATATTTTTCAAGGAAAAGTAGAATGTTTTACTTGACATATAGACGATAATATTTCCGACATCAAAAAGGTGCGACAAGTCAACAGTTATTTGGACGTAAAGAGACGTTTTATTCAAAATAAATAATTATTTCTCAATTTCATCCCATAGGACACATGGAGAAAATTCAAAAACGAAGTGCATGCAAGAGTCTACATGGCGAAGGCTGAAGAAATGAACGTTAGGAAACAATTATTTTACACCTATATAAATAGGGATTCTAATGTTAGGATTCAAGGTGTTCATTTGATTTTACTACAAAATCTCACAAATACTCAAAGTATCAACGTCTAAGAAACGAGTTTCACTAAGAGAATTATGAATCTTGAAACACCATCTTCATTTAAATGCAAAGTTTTTCATTTCAATTTATTTTCTTTATCAATTTACTTTTGTCTCTCTTTTAACTGCATTGTTACTTTACATTTGTTTTACAAACCTCTAGCCTTTATTAACACTGTCGAACTTATATTTCACATTCCTTTTCTTAACAATTTCAACCAAGTCGAAATTTTACACATTTCCACAAAACTATAAACAAAAGTCTTTAGGACTATGTCCTAGGATTCTCTAGTTGATCCTGTAAGTAACCTTTAGTAAGAGACTAGCGGTTGTTTACCAAATTTCACAGTAAACAAATGGATATGCCTAATGGGACCTGTGCTAAACTCTTTGTCTTTTATAAGATATTCATAGTTTTATCTTCTAAACTTGTTATGCATGCATGAATTGTTATGAGTAGTCTGTATGTGTTTAAGAAGTGGAAAGTTTTTACCAAAAATGATGTGTCCTCCTATATATAACACCAGTTTGTAGAATAACTCTCAAAATGTAATGAACAACCAGTCAGATCAACGGCTGAAGAGGTTGTTATTTCAAAACCCGTTAAGACAATTGTCCATGTGGTATCATCAACGCCAATTGTATTGGTATCATCATAAGGGATAACACCCCCACCACATCCAGGAATACCATATTTAACCCTGCAGTCGCAAGGCCATTGTTTGTGTTCTTAATGCCAATGAATAACAAGGAGTACCCCTATGGCATGCCAACATCGATGATGGTTGGCCTTCATACTAGTATATCCATTTTTAGTGACAACGCAATCGTCATTGGGCCATCGTATAATCCACATAATGCCTCGACTTCAACCATTAACAATATGGTTCGACTAGGAGGGATATGTTACATCCCTCAGATAACGCTATCTTTAAATACCACCTCTATGATGGCCATGAGGCAACAGATGAATGAAAGTAACTTAGAATTGATTAACACTCTTACCTAACAAATGTGAACCATATTTAACCCATTGATTACAAACACAAACCAAACCTATGAATTGTTGGCCAATCAACGGGTCGAATAGGTGAGTTTTTTTGGCACGCCTCAAGTTCAAGCTCGACCAACCCCTCAAATGTCAAATGTAAGACAGGTCAAAACGCCTGAAAACAGAATGGCCTAGGTGAATGCAGACCAAATAGGAAGAGGAAGAATTCATAGGTCATCACAATCCTAGACCTTTGATAATTCAAAGAAACCAATATGTTGACCCGGTGCTTTAACATGTCCAACAAAACAACTTTGGGGGACATAACAACATAACCAATTTGGTCGAACAAATTTTGGCCCAAAACGACCTTAATGTGGATTTCCACATACCCAACTTTATATCTCTTTTGTCAGAATATGTTCGACAAACAGAGTTGCCCATGGGTTGGAAAGTTCCCAAATTTACTAAGTTCATTGGAGACATTAGTGAGTCGACAGTTGAACATGTTGTCATGTATCAAATCGAGGCTGGCGACATTATGAATAATGAGAATTTGAAAATGAAGTATTTTCCAAATTCTCTGACAAAAACGCCTTCATGTGATTTACCACACTCCCTCCACACTCTGTTCAAACTTGGAGTCAGTTGGAGAGACTGTTCCATGAATAATTTTACATCGGACAATCGAAGATAAGTCTGAAGGAGTCAGCCAGTGTTAGGCGAAAGTCCCTGAGTCGATTGATGATTACCTGAACAGGTTTAGGCTTCTCAAAGTAATATGTTTTACTCAAGTACCTGAACACGAGCTAGTCAAAATGGTTGCAGGTGGCCTAGACTATTTCATTATGAAGAAATTGGATACTCAATACCTTAGCAACATGGCTCAATTGGCCGACAGGGTTTGCCAGGTCGAACTTTTGAAAGTTGAGAAAGCTAGAACGAATAAATATCATAAAAAAGAAAAAGTTGTGTATGTAGAGGCAGACAAATACCTTTCTGACCTAGGCGACAAATATGTCGAAGAAAGTGAGGTCAATGTGGTTGAACTTAAGTCAGGATCTCTTTATGTTTGTACATTGTTGAAGCCGTCAAACTGGAAAAATTATGTCGAACCCAACAAGAATGAGGAATCTTCACAAAAACATATACTTTTGATATAACAAAGTGTGATGAAATATTTAATTTGCCAGTCACAAATGGACAAATTATAGTGTCTTCGGGCCTAAAAACTCCTCCATTAGAACAGAGAAAAAAGAGAGGTTTTTGTAAGTACCATAATTTTTTGCGTCATAAAACTTCTTAATGTGTACTTTTCGGGGATTTGGTGCAAAAGGCTTTGAAAGAAGGCATATTGTAATTTGGCGAGAAGCCAAAGACATCGATGCATGTAGATGCTAACCTAAGAAAAATTGAGGATGCTCACTACGCTGAACTTGTTGAGATCTTAATGATGGAAGCTACTGAAGGTTTCAACATGGAAGTCAAGAAAGGTGAGCAGATCTCTGTCGTTGTTGATGTAGACATGCAGCTGGTGTACCCCAAGGCGAGGATGGGTTGATCGAATTTCTGGAGCGCTACAAACTGAGCGACTCCAAGACCATGCCCAAGGTTGTCTTCGACGAAGAGGAAACAAAGAAACTTGAAAACACCAAGATGCGGGATCCCAAAAGAAGTAGAAAAGGAAACCAAGTCGTTGGGTTCACTTCAAACAAGAGAGGTGGTTCTCGCGGGAATGAAGAATACATGAGGCAATTCCGACAACCTTATCAGAGAACTTTTCGTCCCCCAACAAATATACTTTGATCTTAGATAAATTATTTTCGAATTTCTAGACATGTCATCATCAAAATGGTGTGAGAGTAGAGTTTGAGGTTCCTAATAGAAAATCCATTGAGAGGTTCCTAATAGAAAATCCATTGAGAACTAGTTCTCATCCGACATTCATTATTTTGATTCAGAAACATGAATTAAGAAGGATCGGCAAGATGAAGGAACCGAAGTATTGAAGATAAAAGATTAAAAATTTCGTATTAAATTTTATTATTAAGCTCCCTCATATTCACACCATATTATTATTTTGTTTGAAGATAGTATTTAAATTATAAGAATTGTTTGAGTAGAATTTGAGGTCCCTAGTAGAAAACCCAATGAAAAATTAGTTCTCATCCGACATTGTTCATTATTTTTATTCAAGAACATGAATTTTAGGTTGGCAAAACAACACTTAAAGAATCAAAGATCACTCATGTATCTTCATTAATTGTTTTCCTTATTGAGGCGATTAAATCAGAGGGCCACCTCTCTATGAATACTCTATGTATTTAACACTGTATAATGGTTTTTAGATACGTATTCTATTCTATGATGTTACATTATCTTCACTCTAGTTTAGACATAAATAAAGACTAGAATTCACCAAACCAAAAAATATATTATTAACTTGCATTCAAAAAGAGACACATAAAATGATTTGTTAGGAGATACTTATTCTTCTATTCTATGATGTTACATTATCGTCACTCTAGTTTAGACATAAATAAAGTTTAGAATTCACCAAACAAAAAAATATATGATTAACTTGCATTCAAAAAGAGACACATAAAATGAGACTCCTAACTATGGATTTCCCATCCTTTTCTTTTCTGCACACAGAGAAAGAGTCTTTTTTCCACCTTGATTGATAAACTCACAGGATGTTTAAGCAGTAGCACTTGGAGAATTGTATAACTTGACCACCATCTTTCGGTAATCTGCATAGCACATCCCAAAAAATGATTATAGCTGTGTTTCAGATTCACAAGACTCATAATGCGTAGGACTATCAAATAGACACTATCAAAATATGTTTATTACCTTCTTGATTGCTCCAAAGCTGTGCTGCTTGTGGATTTAGAGGTGAACTAATGTTTGGCTCTACATTATTATAAATTAAGAAAGGATTAAAAACAGAACAAAAAAAAAACAAGAACTAAATTTATCTTTGCATCCAATAAGATTACAGTATTTACCTCCAAGAAGACTTTGAATGGATAGTAGAATTGTTCTGACATCATAGGCAGAGGACCATTTGTCCTAAAAACACATAACAAACCATAAGAACAGTATGCAATGCCAATGGAATAATGACAACAACAATTGCTCATTAAATCGTTCATGAGATCTTTTCACATTACCTGAAGTATGTCCAAACATATATTGCCTTGAATATCAACATTGGGATGGAAACAGGTTGTTTCAAACTTAACTTTAGGAGGCTTAAAAGGATAATCAGTTGGAAAAGAAAGTGATAGCTTGTAATCTGTGTTTTCAAAAACTGTATCTTTGCTTCCTTTTATTGTTCCTTTCCATAAGAATATGTTGTCCTCCTCAGGAAAAGCAGATATACCCGATTCACCACTCATCTGATAAACAAGCAAACTATTAATATACTTTTGAAGTAATCCATACCCTGATTTTAAATTGCGGTCCACAACCACGGTTGTAGCAGCTGCAATATATGCGGTAGTCTCCGCAATTGTTTGCGGCCTTCTACATTATGGATTACCACATCAGACAACTTTGAGGTTTCTCCAAATCTAAGTATTAAGTGAATTTTAAGTGTGTATTCAAACTCTTCTCAATCAAAATTCACCCTGCTAGAGCAGCAATGCACATCGCAGCAACCGCAATAGCCACAACCGCAAATTGCAGCAACCACAATCGCACTCATGATCCATACTATGAATCAAGTACATTTTTTGGCACAAACTAACTGTGAACTGTGATATCTAAGCAGCACTAATAAAGCCGCCTCAAAACAATTCACTGGATTGCCAAATATTATTTTTGCTATAAAGAAACAATAATGATAGTAGATTCAAGGTTCTTACCATCAAAGACATCAATTCAGATTGCAACCTGTTCAACACAAAGACCAAATTGCCCCAACACAAAACAAAGAAAGTGTTAGAAACAAATTCCCAAAACAAAGGACAATTACAACAATAAGGGTCTGTCTGCTAACAAGTGTTTAGGGTTCTGATTAGCTACACCACATAACACAATTCATCTACAAATCCACAAACAGTACCAAACAAGTTTTAATTTTTTTCTTGATTATAGCATTTGATAACATTTAGCAAGTAAAATTATATCACATGATTGTAAAAACTCAATGACAGAAAACAGAAACACGAAAAAGAAAGAATTAAGAGGTGAATGTGAAACCTTTTGAGAACAGATTTAGAATCGACGGTCTTAGGAGGAGGATGAGACTGTTTTGTAGGAGCAACGATTGGTTGAGCAGCGTCAGTATTCCCATTAATGGTAGCCATAGTAATCAATATATCAATCAATTGATGTGTGAATGAGTAGAATCGGTTACAGAGAAAGAGAAAGTGAGGTTAATCTTTGCGAAGAAATGAGAATTAGGGTTTCAAAATTAAAACGTTTGTTGGTAGTAGTCGTTGAGGAATTTTTTTCACCAACTTATAACATATTAATGGAATGTAACGTTAGAAGAAGGAAGACACAAAAGGTAAATACACAACGGCTACTTGTATGCTTTGTTTGGGTGAGAAGAAAATGAAAGAAAAGAAATTACGAGGAAAGAATTTAGAAAGAATGAAAGTGAGGAGAAAATTAGAAAAAAAATTGGAATTATCTTCTAGTTGTTTGTTATGAATGAAATTCGATGGAAAATAAGAGAAAAGAAAAATATAGTACTATGTGATGACTAAAATAAATTTTCTTTTTCTTTTGAAATTGATAGAAACATTTAAATAGCCTTAAGCAATTTTATTTTTATCATTGCTAAACAAAATTTATTTAAATGAGTTATATAATCACAAAATATATAATAATTTTCAGTTTTTCTGTAAAACATTTTTTCAAACTTATTTTATCTATTTAATAACTTTATATAATTAATTATATTATATAAAGGCTGTAAAATATTTTTTTTAGAATAACATTTGTTTATGTAAAATGAATACAACAATATTATATCTAAGATTTTGTTCCATTTTGCAATAAGAAATAAAGTGAGATGCATAAGCTACAACAGAGAAAAGTTTCTGATGCGGCGGAGCGAGGTGTACTTGTAAGGTTAACACAGTGACGCTCAAGTTAGTATGTGAAAGAGTAGAGACTATTTAAATTGTGTTTGAAACTTGTTAGCAGAAATGACATTGTTCTCTATACATAGGGGAGATGAATAACAACTTTGCTATCTTTTAGGCATGGAATGCAGAAGATCGTTGGATGTACCTGAGGTGTAAATCTCCATCAGCGATGTACAAGATACTCATGTGGTCAGGAGAAGATTCTAGAAACGTAACCGGGTAGTCGGTTGATGGATTTTGGCCCGGAGTGCCTATCTCATGGTGGTCAGTCCGAGAGAGATATGGTCGAACCATAACAGTTTCCCCCAAGCCTTCGTGCTTGAATATTAAGGTGAGGGTTTGGAGAATTTCGCCAACGGCTCCCGATCGTCCTTTTTCATGCTTCTTGCATTTGGAATGCCAAACGTTTATTAAGAGGCGTTGTTATGATCATTATTGGGAACATAAACACTTGAGTGTTACATGCGAGAAACACGGTCGTTGATATGGCACCTTCCTTTCCATATTACCAATTAGAAGAACTAGAGTTACTTCCCTCCAGACCATTCTTTTCTCTTCATTCTTGAGTAGTTACTTTTTTCCCATTCGAAACGTTGTCTTCTTGCACTTGAAAATGTTAGCACGATGTGGCTAAAAAAATCATGGAAGGATGTGAAAGGGAACCTGATGAATCCAACATCTCCATGGAAAGATTCTATATATTCTTCTATTTGTCTGCTTTTACTAAAGAGAGTATCCTTTATAAGAATTTTCTTGAAGTGGGGGAACCGTCGCCGTGGGGACTCAATATCCATGCAGAGGATGACAAAATACGCAACGAGTATGGTAATTGTAACATCCACCTGTATGAATATCTCTTCTCGGCCTTAGGTGTTCACATGCCTTTTTTCTGCTTTTGACGTTTGTGTTTTTAATTACTAGATGGTGTCTCTTTCACAACTCCATCCATCGAGTTGGGCGTATACAAAGGCCTATTAGTACTGATATGAATTTATAAAGGGGAGCCCCTCTGTCACCTTGTTCTTTCATCTCTTTTGCTGCTACCGAGGTACCCTGGTTCGACCTAGAGAACGAGAGTTTGTCTACTTGGTACTGACAATACCAGTTTTGAAGACTTTCCTCCCTTTGTGAACTAATTCTTCTTGGTTACACCCCTACAACCCCTGGCTCACACGACTATTTATGGGGCCGAGCTAAGAGTAGGAAGTGATTATGAACCTCTATTTTCTCATTGTTGTTCAGCGAAGCATTTTCTCCTGGAGAACGACACATATGTGTTGCACCCCAAATTTTGACCTCTTAGATCTTCATCATCATTCTAGGATCATCATCATTTGATTATCTAACCATAACCTATTTCAAGTTTGTCTTTGTCAAGATACAGATGAATCAGGGTTCTGTACAGTCAAGAATCGTTGTTTCGATGGTTTGATCAATCAATGTATTGGATTGATTCTCCATGAAATAAGTCTCTAAATCAACAAAGATACTCCATTGGGTCAAGTGTGAATCCAATTTGAGGTTGTCACCCAAGGATTAAGAACAGTGCACTTCAGGACACCCGATTAGGGTTTCTCATCAGGAAAAGTCAACTGTAGTTTGACTTTTGATTAAAATAGTGTTCCAATGATAGAATCATGGTCCATGAAGCTCATATGGCTTAGTGAAATTCACTCAAGAAGTTTCAAGACCTCAGAGGACCCAGAACACCAACAGTCGATTCAGAGTTCTTCAATCAATCGGTTCGTCTGACTGAAAAATCAACTCATTGACCAACATGGTTTTGACCCAAAATTGAAGGCAATTATGTTACTAATGGTATATAACATCTATTCATGAAGTTTGGTGACCATTGGATCAAGAATTGATAAGTAATCAAAAAGTTGGGAAATTAAGGTGTTGAAAAGGGCAAAGTCATAACTCCTTAACCACACAAGGGTTTTTGACCTAGTTTCAAGGGGAATGAGTTCCTAACACAAGCATAAATATTTTAGTACCTAATTTGGGATTTTTAAAAAATTACAAGTGGGTTACATAACTCTTCCTGGTTAGAGAGAACCAAGATCCACAAGTTGGCAAAAACTCACATTCGCAAAACTAGGTCAGCATGAGTTTTTTTATTCCAAAACCTATCCAAATCGATTTTAATCAAAGGCTAAACCTCATTTATGATGTTTGAATTGATAATGAACATTTTAATATCAATTCACACGAAAATGGCACAAAGATCAAAGGAAATCATTATTTAATGCAAGTTGCAAAAGTGAATAGTGAAGAAAGAGAAAAAAGGTGGCTACCCTTGTCAAATCATCAACTTTACTTCAACAAGTCACCTCCTAACCTATAAAGCATGATAAAAAACATATAGGGTATGGAGAATATCTTATTAGAGTTGTTTAAAGACAAGTATGAAGATTGCATTGGAAAACTCAAAGATTTTCATGATGGAAGGTTAAAATTGGCAATTTGCTTCACTTTTGCCCATACCTTGATCCAAGGCCTTTGGCTATAAATAGAACTCACTTCCTACATCACAAACACACCATTTCTATGATAGAAACCATCTAGAACTCTCTCCCTTACACAATCATCAAATTCTTGCAAAATCTCACTAAGTCTCCAAAATCCCTCAAAATCTATTTTTGCAAAACACCTCCCAAAACCATTTCCAAACTTTTTCCAACTCAAGAAACACTTCAAACACATCAAATATGATGTATTGAAGCTATCCAAATCACTTCCACACTTATGTAACAAGGTTTGGGTGAGTTGGTCTTTGAAACCTTTGGATTTTAGAGTTTTTCCTTCATTTACAAGGCATTTCGTCCACTAGCTTGCTTGGAGGTTGTTTGGAGCATATATTCATCAACCTAGGAACATTTGAAGACCTTGTAAGAGCTTTCAATATCTCTGGTTTTCTTATTGCTTAAGCTTGCTTCAAGAGGTAAACCTAAAACTCATAAATGTGAACTTTCTACTTGCATTTCACGTGCTACCATGAATGTTTTTAGGGTTTTCACCTTCCTATCTCTCATTTATTCATTTCAAAACTTTAATTTCATTCTCTTTTGAGTTTTATTTTAAAGTTATGATTTTGTCTTTTTAGCATCCTTGTGTACTTGAGTTTGACTAAAACTTTTGCTTGTAAGCATTTGTATTTGATCTTCTCTTAAAACTTGAAAGTTTTCCCCGTGAAGTTTTTAAACTTCTCACTTACATTTGTTGTGACATTATTTGATTACGCTTGATAATTGCAATTACATATGGCATATTTTAAGCTCTAAGAAACCATTCTTTATCAAGATACATATTTATCTTTGTTAAGATCCCCTGCCATCTTTGTTAAGATATATCCCCATCTTTGTTAAGATATGTTTGTGGTTGTGACTTCCTTATGCTTAAGTCTTGTAAGAACTTACCCTTCTTGATATTGTAATATCTTGATACTTGCTTTGGTTGTGACTATCTATCTCGATTGAAATCATTAATATTGTAATGCTTGCTTTGGTTGTAACCATTCATCCTGATTTAGATCCTTGCTTATTATAATATGCTTGATCATTCTTGGTTGTAACCATATCCCTTATATTCATCATGTGTGAATGTTTATGCTTTGTTAAGTTTACTTTCCCCAAGTGATGAAACTCTTTAGTTCTCATACAAGTTGCATCATCTTTTCCCTTCCAAAGGAAAGTCTCTCTATTGACCCTTGGGTCATAGATAGCTCATTAAACTCATAGGTCTGGATAGAACCTTCTCCCCCTTTTGGTCTGGATAGAACCAATAGGATTTAAACATCATAGGTCTGGATAGAACCTTCCCTCTTTTGGTCTGGATAGAACCAATAGGATACCCTCATAGGTCTGGATAGAACCTTCCCCTCCTTTTGGTCTGGATAGAACCAATAGGATTTAAACTCATAGGTCTGGATAGAACCTTCACCCTCTTTTGGTCTAGAAAGAACCAATAGATCCTTATTCTGTAGTTCGTGCCCGAACTACGACCGCTCTGATTTCTCATTGGACAATGAGAATACGTAGGCACAAGATGTGATATCTTGACGAGCAACATTCCCCCTTTCTCCCACCTTTTGGTCTGGATAGAACCAATTGGTCTCACAACGTAGAACTTTAGGATAGAGTTTGGTTAACTCTATGTAAGAATCATGGATATGATTACTTACTCCCCTTTCTTGAGAGTTCAACATAGAT